GCTCCTACGCGCCTCGACCCTTCGCAACGCAAAGTAGCCGTAAACATTTATCGTGGCAATCGGTATGCTACATGCCTGATTATAATCCTGACTTGGAGAACGTTGGCATATTATCTCGAAAGGCTCGCGTGTCATGTCATTTCCATCAAACATCTATCCAAGGCCCGCAATTTCATACAATGCAATTTTACAGTTGTACATGTTGTAAGCATTGCGATCTCTCCCCAATCCCTAGATGTTGTCCACCGATGCGGACTCTCCCCTCTACGAGAATACTGCATAAGCAGAGGCGCCGTCATTCCTGCGCCGTTGTATTGGCTCTTATTCGTAATTACGTAGATGTTTCGGATGCCGCAGGGGCTGAAATAACATTTAAGGACCAACATGGCGCTGCTAACGCTCTAAACCTCTTTCTGTTGTAGAAGTTTCGCGAGCACAGGATCGACGGAGCAGCACTTCCCCTCCTTTCGGAGGAGCATCTGACGGGGCCGATGGGTATGAAGCTTGGCCCGGCCCTTAAGCTTCGCGTCCTCTTGGCCCGCAAGCTCGGCGCCTGCACCGTCTGCCTCCACTGCGCCCATTGCCACCAAACGCCCTTGGCGCCGGCCCTGAGCGCAGCCGCGGCGGTAGCAGCGGCGGCGGCTGCAGCCCACGCCCAGCAGCAGACGCCCAGCAGGCGGTCCAGCGCTAGCGCCAATTGACAAACCCAGGCGGAGCTCCCACGTGCCGGCAAGGACCTGAACCGGGTCCTCAAGATCGAGCGACCCAAGACCCTGCCACCGCCGCCGGTGAGCTTTGGCAAGTCGCGCGTGCTTTTCAAGAAGCCGATAAAGCACTGACGGCCGTCCCAGGAGCTCCGCCTTATCTCGACCCGAACCTTCAACACTGATCGCCCAATGTCGACGAACGTACTAACACTGCTGAGTGTATCGACCGATGTATCCGAGAGGGGCGCTCACCGTTCCGCTCGTTACTTGCTTCGATGCGCGGGCTTCGACTTGCGGCACAATCGATAGCCTTACCGATAAAGTAAATAATTGTGTTCGCCATTGGTTTCAGAAGCTTTCTTCACCACCGACCTTTCCGCCTAAGTCCTCGGACTGCGCTCTCCTCACCCCACGCCACCCATTCACACTTAACGAAAGCTCTTGTTCGTCATGATCCAACTAGTAATGATACACTTTACTTTGTAATTACGCATACTCAAGCTCGTCGAGTGTATATAAAATCTTTCGTCGCACTAAATTAACCAATTATTGATTTAGATTTCGATATTAATAAGAGTGAATGAATGAATGTGAAATTCCCGTCCCTAAAGTCTCGTAATTCTTATAAAGGACCATCTAAATTTCTAGGCATGTTGGAACTTACCATCGTGACCATGTATTCTTAAGTAATTGGTTCGATAATATTATGTGAGCTAAGAATTCTAAAATGTAAATCTAACTCGACATGACAGAAGATGCATCATCGTAATTATATTTTTGATAGATAAATGACCTCTCGGGTGCATTGCGAATTATTAAGCGTTTAAAGTAAATGTAGTTTGTAACTGGACTACAACGATTGTACAAATGACTTACTTCCAGCGTACTTAATTGAAGGCGATATACAGCGAAATTGAGATGATCTGATGATCTATGTGCAATAAAGACAGATACGCATCTGTAAAACGCAGGATTGCAATTCTAGTGATGCTTTTATATACTTTAATGAGGTTCACCTTGACTTTTACTATAAAATTTATGCAATCGAAATCGAGTTATTCAGTAGATACATTAAATTTTACATTATTATCCATTATGTATTATGCAGACGAGCGAATATTTCATATTTATCCGTCAAAGTTATGAACTTGACATTATTTAATTGCCTTATAAAATTCAAAGCGCACCTCATTATAAAAGAAACAAATGGATATGAATGCGTGTTTACTTGAATCGTTGTTTCTTATTTGTATAGATTTTAACGGATATTTTATACCCGATAAATATTAAAATGGTAAACAATATTTTTGCTAATACCTTCACTTATTGTGCTGCATTCGATTACAGAACATAAGCCGCCAACGAACGATCCTGTATTCTACCTTTCATATTTCGGTTGGTTTTTAGGGATTCTCGATTCTCTTTTACGTGTGAATCGTTCATTATCAAACTGGTTCTCGAGAAAAACAAACACAATACAAACACAAACAATATACAATATACGAATACATGCGCATGCATATTCACCACACGTACAGGCATACATAGATGAGCACGAATGCACGCGTACGCAATGGCACAAACAAACGTACACAGATGCGTACATTGGTGAACATATCCATGAGTTTTAAAGGCAATCGTACAATTGAATCGTATGACGAGCAGTATTTTTAGATATATAAAATTATTCAAATACCATTACGGGTTACTAATGTGCCTGAATCCAGATTATCTATTTTATGAACAATATCGATATCTAAAGGAACACGATACCGTATTTTATACTGTACTTAATTTTGTTTCAAATCCGATTAAAATCGCATAATAATAAAAAATTATAAGGAAAAGACAAATAACAAATCCTCGAGCGATTGCGGCCTCTACTTAATTAACGGTATAATTATTATATATGCACACATATGTACATATATATATATATATATATATATATATATACATATATAATTATACTTATTATGTGTATATATTGCGCTTAGGCATTTATTTATACAGTGCTTTGAAGAGAAGAAAATATAGTATTTTATTTAGAAATCAAGCAACTTTATCAAATATATATCACTTCTCAATAGCCGTCACATGTCAAAAGAAATAAAGAGTGTAAAAGAATGAAAGAAATGAATGTGATAATGAGTAAGTGACAGAAAGAATAAAAAGCAGCGATTATATAAGCAAAAACAGCAATATTTGTGATATAACAGAATCCATAAATTTCCTTAGATATCCTTCAAGTTTTTTTTTTTTTTTTAATTTACGCCTGTCATTTTTTCGTATACTGAGCAATGATTACATTGACCCTATCTATCCCTTTTCGTTTACCTTTCCCTCATTATTATTGGACTTGCAAAGTCCGTCTTGTAAAATTTTATACGATTGATTATCGTATTATGTATAGTAGTAAATTATCGGTAAACAGCGAATAGTGCATTGTTTCTGTTAAAATAAATTCGTTGAAAAATATTTGAAAAGTTTTTTATTTATAAGCCTACAGTAATTATTACTAAATATTATTTATTTATATGAGTTTGTTAATATTATATAATGTCGTAATACAATAAATAATTCTTTACTCGTTAAGTAATTTCACGCGACTTTGACCTAAAACAATAATGAAAAATTTTAATCGGTCGATTGTATTTTAATTCTATACAGCTAAGTATTTCCAATCAACTTACATCTCCGCGTAAAGCCAAAACACCATCCAATTCATTATTAAGAATTTCAATATAAGCCTTTCCATGCGTGTCTACATTGATTGACTTTCCGGTGCATGTTTTATTAATCGCCTCTCCCGATATGAGATCACAATATGTTCCAGCTGGAAGACATACGTGTAATGTCTGCTTTAGATCCATACTATTAGCATTTATAGCTACGAATCCTCGGTTACCCCTGCAAAATGCTATTTGATTTGAGCCGTTATCCCACCAATTAACTAAATTTGTGCTTCCCACGAAGTTACGAAAGCCAACCATATTGTAAATTTGTCGCCACCGGTGCTCGCACACCCACCCATTGTCGCAACTTTTATCTCCATTAATGCTTACTGAGATAATATTGTGATAAGAGTCACACGGTGGACCATCTTCGAAAGAGTTAAAACTGAATGAACTCATAACTCGAGGATATCCATATGGGTGCGCCAACATAAATGCCACTGCCATCTGTTATCAAGTACAATGATTATATATATATATACATACATACATGCATATATACATACATACATACATACGTACATACATACATACATACATACATACATACATACATAAATATATACCCTTTTTATTTAATTAGTATTTTTTACTTGCTTAGTAAACAATTATCAGCTCCGTAATTTTTAAGTGCGAATATGGAAAAATTATATGTAAAATATTATATAAATAATAAAGAAGAAAATTATATATTTTTTACTATTATCTATTATTTAAATACATAAATTACTTTCTCTTTTTTTAGAAAGAAAATTAAAATCATTAATTCGCAATAAAAAATAAATTTTTGATTATAATATTTTATTTATCATAAAATAATTTAAATAAGGAACATCATTTTAAATTTATATAAATGAATAATTATTTTAGAACGCTACTACATGAATAAAATTACAAGTGTGGAGTAGTAAACAATTATAATTAAATGCCGAGTATTTAAGGTTTTACTTTCCATTAACCCAATACATTTACCGTATTTTACGCAAACCGTATACAGATATATAACACTATATGCTTATTATATGAATAGTATAATAATTAACTTCATATAAATAAAATTGAACTTTTAATATTAACATCGAAAAAATATGTTAATTTAGGTTTAGTAAATAATGCGTATAATGGTATAATATATATGACTAAAAGTTACATAATGTTCTATAAAGAATAAAATATAACCACTTATTTTTTAAATCCAATATTATACGTCAGCAGAAAAATACGAATTATATTCCATTATGATAAGGTACATTTATTTTAAAAAGGTTGATTCAATGCTTTATTAATTTTACAATACTATCCAAAAGCAGTCTTCTTTTATTTGAATTCCGATAATTTTCTATATTATCAATTTTACCTGCCGCATGTTAAACCTAATATTAAAATAACTATATTTGTTCTAAATTCTACATTTATTTTTACATTTACGATAAAGCTTATATTATAACAAAAATTACTATTACTAATATTATTTAAGAAAACTATATTATTAAACATAAAGTATATTTTATTTATACTTTTCCATTCATTTTATAAAAATTAATTGACAAATGATCTTGAAAAATTATATTGAACTAATTTTACAAAATAATGTTGATCGTATCTATGTAATAGATATTTCATTAAACTTTTCTTATATTTCTTCTTATTAATTTCATAATAATGACAATTATTGATTCAAAATAAAATGCTTTAATAATAAAGTTAATATCAATTTCTTATTAGCTATCTAATGTTTATAAAGTTTAAATATAAAATATCTTTTATGAGTTAAATAAACATATCATAATTTAAATTAAATTTTATCGATACTATAACATATTTGTACGTACTGAGAAAGAAAGTGTCAATATTCATGAAACCATGAATATAAGAAAGCGACATGGTCATCAATAATATAAATATGAGATATGTGAATAAAAATTAAAACAACAAGAAAATCTTTAGTAGCATTAGTCCAATTGTTTAATCTAAATACAATACTTGAAATAACTATTACAGCAACGTAACACTTGAAACTGTAGATTCTCATTTTTGCTACAACAATGAATTAGATATTGAATCACTAAAAACGTACGCTTCAAAAAATTGCGTATCTATAAGATCTTGGTCAAATTATTTAAAACAGATTTTAAAGGAGCTTAAATGCGTAAATTTCAACTTGTTTCATAAATCATAAATAAGTACTAAATCTATATACATAGATACCAAAATTACGTACATATAAATATTATAGCAAATTTTCAATGCATATTTACATTTAACGATATCAGATAGCAACCAAATAAATTATTTATTAAGCTCATTAACTACTATGTAGAATCAAATAAATTTTATTAAACAGGTTTTTAAAATTTTATACTAATCAATTAATAAACTTTTAAATTTAATTATGCACGTGACTTACAATTTGAATTTAAAATATGCTTTTCTATTATATGTAACACCTTTTATATTACTATCGTAGACATTATTCAGCTTGTTATTTTATCTATATATTTTTAACACATTTAAATCTTGTATAATTTATTAATTAGTTTCTTATGATTTTCTTTTCGAATATTTACTATTCATTTTATTAAATTTATAATTATTTTTCTATTAATTAATAATATTTTTTAAGGGCTAAAGTTTATTATGAAAAATACCATTGGATATTTATGATTTATAATTGAATATTAGTTTTTTTTCTTATTATTTTATTGTCTTACTATATATCAAATTTTACTTTAGTACATTTTACATATATTTTTTCTTGTATTTATGCAAAAATATTAGAAAATTATTATCCAACTATATGTTATAAGTGAACTATAATAAACTACATTAAATTTTAATAATGAGTGTTCTTGAGCAAAACTAAAATTTCAAATATATTATTATGTGATAATAAATGGACTTAAATTGAAAATATTAAATCAAAATAATACTTGCAGGATTTGCGATTTATACAACAATTTTAAATTGATATATGGCGATGTATTTAACATACCTTGTAAAGTTTTGATGTCTTATAAGTCAGTGGTATATCACCAAGAGTCCGCTGGGTATCGTGATTGTCAATAAAAACTAATGCATCTGTTGAAGGCAATAAACCCCATGCTTCTCCCCAGTTGATAAACCATTTAAGTAAATTTCTTCCACGTAAAGAATTACTAATTTCTCGTCCATATCGAAATTCGGTAACTGCGCCAAGCTTATTGTATTGATATTTGCTCACTATTTCACCCCCATAGTCAATCACTTCTTGAAATATGAATGGCCTTGAGTTTGGAGCAAAACGATGAAGAACGTTCAAATTCTTTATTCGAGAATATATTATAGCTAAATCTTCTGGCCACATATGTTTCGCAGCATCTATACTGAAATACTCCAATACATGCAATAGTTATTTTTATAGTAATATTGCATTAAAATAATAAATTATTCATTAAAAATGAATAATTTAAAAGATTGTTTTTAATTAGCAAAAATAGTTTCTTAAAATAATCTTCTAATAATAAGACAGCGAATGCATAGTCTTGGTATTTTCAAAATATATTTCTTTATAATAAAATTAATTAATACATAATGGATTGATATGAATTTAGATAATAGTGCATAATGAAAAAGATAAATTATTTTATCTTTTACATAGCAGTAGAATTTAATTGAATATTATAAGTAATTTTAATGCATTAATCAAACTGTCTTAAACGTAATATAAATATTATTATTATATTACAAGTATTTTTTATATCTAAAGACGTTAGGAATATCTCAAAATATCAAAAATTATTTTATAAATGAATTTCTTGATATTTTCAGCGTTCTTTTTTTAATTTTCATTAATATATGGTAAATAATATCGAAATTTTAATAAAAACGTTCTTATTATTTGAAAACTTTTACACATTATAATTATAAGAAGTGAGACAAGACAAAAAATTAAGTAGTCATAGTTATAATAGATAATAAATATTAATAAAATTAGATATTTGATACTACTCAAATAATTTCACACTCGTATAAATTTTTCTCTTAAAAATAAATTTTTTAGCATTATAATATTATCTATATTTATTGATACATTTTATAGATAATATTAATAATTAATATTAATATTTATTGATAATTTTATTAATTGATAAGGAAGATATAACAATAAATTGGTTGAAATTCTGACGAGAAAAATAAATATTATTATAATACTAACCGAAAGCCAGCAACTCCAGTCTCTATTAGTTTGTTTAAAACTTCTATGATTTTTTCTCTGACGTACTCCTGACTTTGATCCAGATCGTGAAGGCCCAATAATTCACAATTTCTAACGTTTTCAATATTCTGAAAATCGTTGACTTGGCAAATTGAATGAAAGTGAGTTTGATTGTAAGGAACCATCGGATAGTGCCGAGTCGATGGATTGGCTCTTGACCCACCAGTACCAATGGCATTAATGTGATCAGCGCTCATATGGTTTAGCACTATGTCCACATAAATGCGTACACCTACATTGTTACACCGAAAGACCATAGATTGGAATTCCTCTTTGTTGCCTGAACGTGTCTGCCATAGATAAGATATAGGTTGGTAGCGTTCATACCAAGGCCTCGAATCAATTATTACGTTTTCCTGGATAGGAGATACCTAAACAGCATAAATACACATATATAGATTCTTGCATATAGAAATCCTTATTTTATTAATCATTACTATATATTTATTCAAATTACATTTTAAAGTGAATTATATTTTTCATTCATTTGCTAATCTGTTTCTATTAATATTGTTAACAAAATCGTAAATAAGATAACCTTTTCACTTTTCCATAAAAATGCTGTTTAATTTTAAATTTACAAAATTCAGATAATATTTATACTTAAAAAAGTGCAATTAAAGAAATATAAATACTTATAATTACTAGAAATATTTACTGTTTATTTGTATATAAAAAAAAAAAAAAAAAAAAACATTCCTATAAATAATTCTACATTTAACTATAAAATTCAAATTATAACTCTTTTTGCTGTATTAAAAATTTAAATTATTATTCCTCAAATAAATACATTGAAATATTATTCAAATTCCAATTAAAAGGTTGAGCAATAGTTAGATTGCTTAATTAGATTATAGACTTAATTAGAATAGAGTTATATTGAAACAAAAGTAATAAATTTCTGTCGTTTCAAGGAATGAATTATTTTATTTTACTATTTAAAAAACCATATTTCAAAAATTTAATTCTCTAATTAATCATAATTATATGAAAAAAATTAAATAAATAAAACTAACTAAATATTTAATCTATAATACTATCTAGTTTTCATTTTAATTTACATTCGCCGCTTTATGTGATAAATAAATCGATTATTTAAATTAATGAAAATTTTTAATTTTTTACAAGCTTATGTATAAAAGTTTAAAATTCATTAATATAATAAAATAATTTATTGTAAATAAATATAGAAAAATAATAAAATCATATATAATTAATCGATAAATAAGAACTAGATCAAAATTATATTGAAAAAATATACTCTAATTTGTTTCGTCTTACGACTTGTAATAATCAATAACGGAGTTTTTTTAATTATATTTGTACTCATTCTATTATTTTTCAACGTATTTATTCTATTAATCAATGTTTCTTTCATTATTATACATTATATCAAGATATATAAGTAATTTTTAAATCTATTTTGGGTGAAAAAAATATATGTTTATTACAAAAAATTGTATATTTACTATTATATTTTATTCTAAGGCCAATAATACAGTATAATATAAATATTGAAATATTGATGAAAATCTCTACCAGTAAAATATTGAAACATAAGATAATAAAAAATTTAATTTTGAGCATATATATGTTTATATTAATATCATTTGAATAAAACGTAAATTTTTAATTCCTTAAAATGGAATTTTCATAAAATAAGAAGTTTTCGATCAAATTGAAGCAATTTATATTTTTAAGTATATATTTTAAGTAACAAAATTAATTTTAAAGATTCATGAGATACAATTTTTTTAACAAATTATTGAAATTGACATATAACGTACTTTATCTATAAAATGCTCGTTCGTTAATAATCATAAGTTAATATCACATTGCAACAGCATATTGTATTTAAATTGTATTTAAATGTGCATATTTAAATATGTGTAAGAGAAATAAAGTTCAATAGATATATTAATTGTCTCTATGAAATTACAAATAATCTTGATAATTTATTTTTATTAATTGTAATTTATATCATTAACGTATAACGATGTCTAAAATAAATTTTTTGCAATAATTTAATTTTATTAATTTATATTAATTAACATTAATAAAAATAGTTAAACGGATAAATTTCGAAGGAAAATAAATGTATGTATAATATTTATCAATAATAATTGAAATTGTACAAATTATCTATAATCGAAAAAAATTATATTAATATTAATAAATTATTTAAACATTTTTTCACATAATAATTAATGCATTTTAAAAGGAACATACGAACAAAATACATAATTTGTAAATGTAATTTAAATATTTTGTTTGTACATAATGATTTCAATATATATAGGGGTCTTTTAATAATATTGAATGTATTCAAAATTCTAAGATATTATAAGATATAATAATTAAATAAATAATAATGAATTATAAGAATTCTAATATTATTATATTTCTTAAATTACTTGAACACCTGCATAGCCCATTGGTCCCAAAAATTTTTCACACTCATTAGCAATATCATTCCACTTCCATTCAAAAAGATGTACCATCGTAGTTCTATCATTCAGATAATTTGTAGTTACAGAAACTGTCATTATATTGATAAAAATATTTACAATTACAAAATATAATGTGAGATTAAACATCATTGTTATTGTTCTACTTTCCACTTTACGTTTATGATTAAACTGCTGTTGCTTGTTAGGTCTTTTATACATATTTCATTGATAAGAACTTAATCTTTTAGTTAAGAAATATTATTATTATTGGGTGAAGAACCTATTTAATAATTGATTTGATTTTTTATAAATCAAATGATAATATATATAAGGAATTATAAAAACACAATTTTCAACAAATATTAATTAATGAATATAATGAGGTGTTAATCAAGATTTTGAAAAATTTATTTTTTCATGATTTGGTTGATTACATACAAATTAAGATCTATCAATAAGCTAAAGACATATTTATTTATTCAGTTAATAAAGAAAGATCTGTTTTTAAAGTATTCTCGTTGGTAATCTGATTAGATATAACAAATTTGTATTAAAAAAAAAGCCGAATTAATAAGCTAAAAAATAATAATTCAATTTGTTATAAAAGGATTGAATTTATGGCTAATAAAATATAATATTAAAAAATAAATTAACAAAATAATATTAAGAAAAATATGTGATCAACAAAAATACTGCTTGCATAATAATATGTAAGATTACAATTATATTATTATTCTAGCTAACATATGTTTATGACTGAGTTTATGAATGAGTTTAAATTATCTGCACAATATTAAACAGTTTCCTGTAATCATTAAAAAACTTGGTAAAAACAATTTGTTCATCCTAGTATTTGATATTTTTGCTTTACTTTTTAAGCCACAATTACACATTTTGTACATAAACCAATAATTACTTTGGTATAGCTTTATGATCGCATCTTGTGTAAAATGCTAAACATTTTACATATTGCATTCTAAATAAATAGACAAGAAAAAATCAATCGTGTTGTATGCCCAAATCATAATTTCAAATATGAATGAAAATAGAAAAAACAATAATAAATATCATTCAACAAAATATCATTCGTAATTTTATTTTACTTCAATATATAGCCGATATAATTTTTCTATTAAGGTTTAAAATCTTTTGTTAATTGCAAATATAAATCAAAAATATTTTTGTAAAAATTAAACCTTCGATTATGAAACCTATATATATAGATTACTGAAACTTGATTGTACCATCGCCTAATTTTTTAGAAATTTAACAATTGTAATATTTAATTTAATAATTGTTAATAATTTAATAAAAAAATTAAAAAAGTGAGGTATTGAAAGAGTGCTGTAATAGAGACTAGAGCTAAAAGTATTAGCTGGTCAAAAATTGTTTCAGGTACTCAAATAAATGAAAATCAATCTAAATAAATTGTCTAATATGCAAGGAATATCGCAATTTTACAAAAACTATATGCCTAAAAATAGCTCATAATTACATTCACCATTATTTATCTACTCTAACTAATTATCTGTAATATACTAATGGAAAAGGCATTAAAAGACCAAATGCCAAAATAGTAAAATTCTATGCGTCAAATAAGAATCAAATCTACTAAATCTGCAGAAATCAATGCCCGACAACCAAATAATAATACGGTTAACAAAATGGTATCCGCGTAACATACACGATTTAGATGGAAACTTCAACAGCGCCAGCCTAGAATCTCCCTTATTGACCTTTCAAATCAGTAATCCAATTTTGAAAGAAAAATACGTTCAAAAATATACACCATATATGATGCATCAATCTTTGTAGCCTAACACTTTCCTTATTAAACTCTGAAATTTTTGACGCAAAATATACATATTCCAATGTATAATAATTCTACTGTTACTTTTTCTGTATACAATTGGCGTTTTTTTTATGGATTCCGATGAAACTTTCATCAAAATTTCGCATGGCACAAATCAGTAAAACAAATTACGAAACCGAAAAGCTTACACGGACGTCAGAATAGAAAAGAAATTGGGACACGGCACAACAGAAAAAAGACCTGCACAGATATTAAATAATAATAATTATCGATTGCAGAGATTTTATAGTTTATTAATGCATATTTCATTTAATTAATAATTTCTCATTGACTCACGTGATAAATCAAAATCAATTCTCGCACAAATACGCGCGGCTATTATCTGAGACCAATTACAAGTGTCCAATCAGTTCAAACACTGTACAATGCAGCATTATGTAATTGAAAGAGTTATTTCAGGTAGGAATAATGTTCATGCAGAACGGCGATAGACTTTCAATAAACGAATAAAATTTAATTTCATTTTACAAAAACCTTTCCATCCATTTGTTAGTAATTAATCTAACAAGTGAAGATTAACATTTACTTCATCCGGTAGATAGGCTATAATGTACTTAAATAAGGCAATATATGTAACATTTGCGGAAATTTCGATCATTATTTTGAAGTAAAAACAGTATAGAAATATTGATTTTAAAACTCTGCAATTATATTTAAATTTTATTCTACAAAATAGAAATTCATTTTAATACTATTTTAATTTACTATTTTTTTTATTTTTTTATTAAGATTTATATACGAAATTTATTTTGAAATATATTAATAATAAATATGTTTAAGCTTGAAACAAATACCAACGTATTCTATTAAAAATTATTCATAATTCCAATGATCTATAAAATTCTAATATTTTGTTAGAAAAAATTATACAGTCTTCGATTCATGAAATTTAATAATATTCATAGTGGCATTACCTCGGAAGATTTTTTTATGGATTTTATCATATAAATATGTATCTTGAAAAATAACTGATGTAATTATTATTTTTCTTGAAATGACGAAAAACGTATTCAAATTAATCACATTCGTTGCTAAATAATATCATTTATAAAAAAAAAAAGAGCCTTATATTACTTTCATTATATTATAATACTTCTGTCAGCTTGATGATATCAATAAGTAATCCTCTACGATAATTGAGCTGATACTCATTTAGTATACATCAAAGTATGCATGTATAAACAAAGTTATCAGTAACTTGATGCAATTTCATTGGAGATAAAAGTAAAATAAACGATAATTTTTCTCTATGAAATGAAATACAAAACTTGTAGACAATAGACCTTAATTTTAATATTCTTCACCAAATTATCTTTTATGAATACAATTTATTGATTTAAAATAACAATAATAATAAAATAATACTTTGAATATAAATTATCTTGAATTAAAATTTTGCTTTTCCAAACGATGCATTAGAATATGAGATAAAGTAGGCTGCACAAGATGTTAGACGTAAAGTATTTTCTTCTGGATTAAATAATATAAATATATATATTTGGTCAACTACTCGATCAATTAAAATCTTATTAAGCGAACGAATCTAAAACGAATTTAAAACATTTTAATAAAAACTGTAATGTCTGATTGATATAAGAGACGAAAAGTTTATTTTTTCGTTTTGTATTTTTTTTTTTTTTTCGTGCGTTATACATAATACATGGTTGTATGTAAATCGCGACCGTTATCACAATTCTAATTTCATATGGAAATATTCGTATTAATTAATAAAGTTCGTAAAAAGATATAAATTGGTTATTAATTTCTTAATATATGTTCATTTGAATTATTTACCAGTAAATAGATTGCTCGAGACTGCACGGATAAATAATAATGGCTTGACGCGTTTCAAAATTCAACTATATTCAACTAATCAAGTTTGAAATCCGTGTTATGTCGGATATTCTAGGAAAGAGAGAGAGAGAGAGAGAGAGAGAGAGAGAGAGAGAGTGAGAAACATGATGGAACGGTCGACCTTAACGGTTGGCAGCAACGGTATCGGCGATCGGCAACGAATGTCGTTAGTGCTACCGCAGGCATACAGTGGTTAATAATTACGACCGCCAGGAGGAGCCGTTGATGCGACCCAACGTCATCAATGCTTACTGGCTACAAATTGAAAAGTATCAGCAGCCATAAACAGGCTAGTACAATACTTGAAATTGTCCAAAAACTAGTCCAAATTAAGTCGATGGTGGGAAAATGGTGGTAGTCGGTCAAACGGCGCCTTGTTGGCCGTAAGGCCACTAACAGGATTTCCTCGTAGGGAGGTCTTCCATTTCCCGTGTAAACAGGCTCGTTAGCCCTAAAAAGAGCGGACAGATGATGAACAACGTCACCAGTTAACCCTTCTGTTAAATTCAAGAAAGTTTACGTGCATAGAGTGTTGGGTGTCGAGTCTGTCTAGGTTCGCAGCCACTCGGTTGGGCAATTCGTTTTGTTATAGCAAAGCTCTCGTCATGTAGAGAATGTATGTATTTGAGCGTACCAGGCATTTTATCAGCGTGAATAGTAGATTATTCTTTAACGTAGGGAAGCATTATGACTAGCGCACTGCCAGTCAACGGTTACATAAACCCAACGAGTGGTCAACCAGCTCTTGGTAATTCATTTAGTTATGCTCACGTGAAAAATCTTTTACCTCTTCCCTATTCATCTTTATCCCTTCGTTTATTTCACATTCCGTATTCCTTAAATAAAAAAAATGTTCTTCCAAAGCATCCTATAATTGAAAATGTAATTTACGTCTCTTCTCTAATAGTCAATTCTACCAAAAAATATGATATTTACAGCTGAACAAACGACTGGCGGAGGAGTCGTTTCCTTAGACAAAAGTAAAGAATGGCAAATGGAACTGCTAATGGAGAAACTCCGCTCAAAGGCTTCGACATTTAAGTCTCTTGTTGAAACTGCCAAAAACATTCGTATGGCAATGTTGGTAAGTATTTATATTGTAGCAAATACTTAGTAACTACTTAGTATTACTTAATCATTTGTATACATTTTTCATCGATCTTTATTCAAATATAGGATAAGAGATTTGGCATTGATAGCGTTGAGAAAAATCAGCTTCAAAAATGTTTAGACGCATTGCAACACTCGATCAAAGTAACATCGTTACAATCAATGATCGAACGATTGGAAAGTCTTTCGCGTCAATTAGGGTAAACAACGATTGCAATAGTCTATATAATACATAACATATTTTATTAACTTTATTACATAAAATTTTATTTTTAGATTAAAATTTATGATGTCCGGACCTCCATCTGGTACTAGTACCGAACTGTTCATATCCTCTGACATGTTTTTCTTAGAAGTATTATTAGAACCATCTGGTGCGATAAAGGATGTAAAGATTCATCATGAAGGCAAAGCTGAACAACAAGTAAGCTAATAGATTATTCATTATTTACGAACGTTCGCACTGATCATATGTTGAATTACAGAGTTGTGAAGAATTAGTTGCGTGTCTCTCTCGAGGAGATTTTGTTGATTTTACAATGCAGCTTGAAGGTTTAGCATCAATTTATCAATTAAATGCAGATAAAAAAGTTAAATGTAAGGCATTCAGTGCTCTACAATCTCTAGAAACTGATTTAGGAATTCTTGCTCAGTTACAAACATTTATAAAAGAACCATTTAATATTGTACATAAAAGTCCTGTTGGTAAATTAATTTTCTCTATTGTATTATTATAATTAGGAATTGTATTAATTGGAGTCTTAATGATTGTCATAATAAATGTTTTCTTATTTTAAGGAATTCTTGAAAGGAGGAAAGGTGGTCATGCTATGAAATTAACATATTTCGTATCTCCTTATGATTTAATAGATCAAGAAAATAAAAGCTGTGAAGTTCTAAGCTTAGAGGCTGTGATATCTAAAAATGTTGGACATTCCGTAACAGTTTGTATGGAAGGCTCTACAGCTCACAAATTACCAACATCGAGTATCATTACTGTAAATAGAGGTTCTTCTGGAAAAAGGTTAAATAGATCTTCAATTAATAATTTGTTTTAAAAAAAGAAAATTTTAATAAACATTAATTTATGCATTCATTTGATCAACAGTACACCGTCGTATGGTCCTTTAACAAGTGCAAATTCTTCGATGTTACCTGCATGTTTCGTTTTGAAATTAGCTAAAAAAATGCCTATGTGCGTAGAATTAATAAGAAGAATACAGAAAGTCACAGATCTCGAATGTACTGATATATCGACAGCTTGTCCACTTCTAAGTATGATTGTTCAACATGCAAGTGATAAACAATTAGATTGTCAAAACAATAGAGGACTTCCAGTTGTAAGTATGCCCAAATTCAGTTTTTGTTATTATAATGTAATTATACTTCTTAATAATGTGATTTTTTTTCATTTAAAAAACAACTACTTTTTATAAAATATTTATTGAGAAACATTTGCTTATTTACAACAATCTATATTATTGATTAAATTTTATTTGAGTGGTCTGTAACTATTAAAAAATTAAAATTTTCTTATTCTATCTCTTTGTAATTAAATTGAAGTACTTTAAATCAAAAGTATATAATCTGACAAATAATTAACGGTGAAAAGATTTTTATTGGTAATATTTTGTTGATCGATAGAGTCTTCCAGACCAGCAGCATTGTTACTTCATGACAGAAAATAGAAATATGGAAGGAGTGTTAGTGGGTAGTATACCATTCACTCATCCAGCACATGTTCCGCAAATTTTAGTTTTCTTACGTCAGCAAGCACTGTTTAATAGTTTAATTTCAAGTTGTGTAAGAACAATGGCGAGACAAGATCTTGAACATACAACTATTTTTGAAATTAGCGCTTTGTCTTGGCAATGTATATCCATTAGCTTGGAACATCCTTTCGAAGAAACTTTGGCAACTGCCGAGTTAGATCTATTAGATATTTCTGCCTTGAAATGTAAACTCTACGGTGTCAGTATAACTAATACAGAACAAACATCGGACCTTGCAGGAAAGGTATTACAACGATGCTTAAGCATTCCATTAACTATGCGCACTTTAATTAAAACTTGGGAAGGGCGAACGTTCACGTTAAATCCCATAAGTGGAGGAAATAATAGTTTCAACAATAATCTGGGAACTGGCAGAGAGCAAAATAATCACAATGGTTCAAATATATCCGAATTCGGTAATGAAGATATTAAAATCAAACAAGAGCCAGGCACAATGAATGGCATGGGTACAACAGGAAGACAACAGCAACAACAGCAGCAACAGCAACAGCAACAGCAATCGCAACAACAAAATCAACAACAGCAGCAGTCTTTTTTAGATGCCGGAACGGAGAATAGTATCGGGTTTCCGTCATTTTCCGGCTCATCCGATACACCTGCTGCAATGCTTAATCCTTTGCAACTGGGAGGGCTTTCCAGCACTTCCACGTCGTCGAATGACAGTAAGAGCAAAAAATCTCGCAAGCGAAAAACTGCGGACGGGTCATGGAAAAGCCCAAAACGAAAAAACGATCAGGATTCCAATGAGATACTATTAGAAAGCTCAAGCTCGGATTCTACGCCACTAGGCACTCCGACAGGTGGAAAGGAGCTGATTAATGACACGCGCACACCAACGCCCACATCGGCTACCAGCGTTATGACCGGAGGCCCAGATCCGTCGAATCTCGATCCAATGGATATCCTCCACACCGAGAAAAACTCGGATTATGATTTGGACAATGATACGGAAATTATGCAAGTCGAGCCGTTAGGGACGAGCGTCGATGAAGCGTTAAAGCGAGAGAGAAAATTTAAGAAACGCGTAGAGGAGAAGCCCAGTCCCACGAGCATTTTTGAGGATAACAAAACTCTTGTTTCTCCTTCCGTAAGCATTACGCCCATCTCGAGCAGTAGCTCCGGACAAAGCACCAATTACAACTCCATGTTGACGAGCATGGGTTTGGAGAGGCGACCCGGCATCGAAATTATACCCATCACCTCGCTATCGCAAACGCCTCTACCAAGCTCAATTACCATAACGGCTATCTCGAATCCGGCCTCCAAGTCGTCGGTAGGGGACGATCGCAAGGAAAGAAAAAGTTCGAAAAATCGTTCGAGTAGTAGCATCGAGGACAAGAGCAAATTAGAGAAAAAACGGAAGCGCAAGCGAGAGTCAAGCCCCATGGGTCCGCCGGAAAAGCTGCCGCCAAAACAGGATCCGCTATCGAAGGCAGTCTCAGTTAGCATAAAACCGACTTCCGAGACTCCATCGAGTTCCCTTTCGTCCTCGTCCCGTCCTTCCTCGCCGGCTACGACCTTACGTAAGTTTAGCCCCTCACCGACTCGCGCAAATCCGCTTGTCATAGTCGGCAAGACGAATTCAACGACGTTGAAACAGTCTCTGAGTAGTAGTTCTGGGAATAAACCGGTGCCAAGCCCAAAGCACTCACCGGCTTACAGTAGCCCCAAGCACATGACAACGGTGACGAACAGCAGTATAAGCCCGAAGCATGGAACCTCTTCTCCAAAACACGGCAATTCGGGCAGTGCTGGCAAACCGAGCATGTCCGCTCTCAAATCCGCAACTAACTCACCATCTGGCAAGGGTGACTCTGCTGGCACCTCCAAGACCAAGATATCTCTAGGCCCGTCGACCTCATCACCCTCCTCCTCGGCCGTCGCCTTAACAACACTCTCCTCGTCCGGTTCCTCGTGTTCTTCCACTTCTTCCTCTTCGTCCTCATCCTCATCATCCTCTTCCTCCTCATCGTCATCGTCCTCGTCCTCCTCCTCGTCCTCCTCTTCATCCTCCTCTTCCTCATCCTCGTCTTCGTCATCCTCTTCTTCCTCTTGCTCCTCCTCAGCCTCGTCCCTGAGTAACAAAGAGTCACGGGAAAAGGAGCGCAAGACCTCGATGATATTTGGTAGTGGTAACAGTGGCGGTGGAGGTGGAGGTGGCAGCGGCAGCGTGGGCGGTAATACTGGTGCTGGTGGTGGTAGCTCGGGACATCAGAGTCCGAAATCTAAGAGTTCAACGTCGAAGCCAAAGTCCATCGATGCAGAGCAGCAAGTAGCCCTGACGGCAGGTCCTGGCGGGGGCAGTACGACTCCACCCTCGGATCCTAATAAATCTCTCGCTAATCAGCAGCAGGTAAGAAATCGCAAGGGCTCTCTCAGCGCGGTCATAGATAAGTTGAAGAACGCACAACACTGCACGGATGACAGCCCAAGCTCTGGAGCAAACTTGACGCCCGGCACGACCAGTACTTCGACTAACCCCGCTGGAAAGAACCCATCAGCCGAAGTAAAGAATCCAACGGAGTATATGGTGAAACCGAGCTCCGACGGCATGAAGCTCACAATCAACAAAACCAGAACCAAAGATCTCAAGGCCAACAACAGCAGCCTTAAACTTTCGTCAGCTTCTATGAGCAGCTCAAGTGGAATTGGTTCTGGCGGCGGTTTGCCCCCTTCGAGCTCGTCATCTGGAAATGGATCACCCAAGACTTACACAGGATTAAAGCCTGGCGTTATTTCTGGTCCCGCTTCGAGGAAGACGCAAACGCAGACATCGCCGAAGGTTCGTTACGTTTTATTACCCAGATAGCTAATCCACCTTTCGCCTTATGCCAAAAAAAATAGATTAATTTTTATTCACAGAATTGATTTTTGCGTTGAAACAAAAGAATTAATTCCATTCGATCAATCGGTTTTCTCATAGTATAATTAACTTAATGCAAAGTATATAAAAATACACGTAACTTACAAATTAACAAAAAAAAAAACAAAAAAAAACAAAATTAAAAGTGAACAGATAGGCAAAAAGCATATTAGGCAATATATTACTAAATTTAAAGACTTATGCTTAATATTTATAATTTACATAACATGCCATGCACATCTGCAATAAAATAACGCCGACTACTTCGTTTGAAGGTTCGCTCGAATTCACCATTAACCTCGAACAGCAGCCTAAGTGGTAGTTCCGGAAGCAGTAAGACCAGTCTCATGTCCGGTCAAAAGATCTCGAGTGGAGGAATGAAATCAGGATCGAGTTCGAGTCTACTTAGTGGAGGACTCTCAAAGAGCACCTCGAACAAATCCTTTTCATCGTCCTCTGCCGGTGGCTCGATGAAACAGAGCTCCATCGCTGCAGATTTGGGTCGCATGAGGGACAAATCGAGATTCAAGTCTGGAGATAAGTCCTTTGCGAACAAAACTGGCGATCCGAGGAAATCAAGCCCCTCGACGATGGAAAGCGACGGCGAAAAGGCATTCAAACTGCTCGCTGCCCACGCCTCTTCTATGAGTAGCATCCCGAACCTCCCCGGACTGCCGGCCCAGCTCGTCGTTGAGGGACTAATTAAGCAACTCGACACGAATTTCCAGATACCGAAGCTTTCAGCACGGATGAACGCGGATAATGCCGACAAACGTTCTATCGACAAAGTAGACTCGAGCTCGAAATCAGGCTACGACAAGTCGTCTACCGATACATCAAGCAGATCTTCTCAGATGCTGTCCAATGCGTCCATGTCGTCATCGTCGGGTGCATCGAAACACGATGACGGCCATGGATCCATCGGTCACAGCTCTTCCAACTCAATTGTTGGCTACGGCTCGGGTAGCGGCTCTAGCGGATCGACCTCGAGTTCCTCAGTTAATGCGATGAATACTCACGAGTTGGATTTGCCAACAAATCTATCGATGCAGCCGGATGAAAATACGAGCATGAAAGTAGACTTAAGTGGCAGTAGATCCTATATGAATACAGGTAGCGAAACGGTGTCCAAAGAAAATCTTGATTCACTAGTTGCAGCTAAGCAATCTTCGTACAGTATAAACAGTGACTCCGTCGGTAATTTGGAAAGCTTAAATCTCGTTACAAAAGGGGCAGAAAAGTATAAGATATCCGATGAAAAAGAGCAACAGCAACACCAGCAGCATCAGCAACACCAACAGCATCAGCAACATCAACAGCACCAGCAGCACCAACCGAACCAACAGCACCAACAGCACCAACAGCACCAACAGCACCAGCCACACCAACAGCACCAGCAACATCAACAGCACCAACAGCACCAACAACACCAACAGCACCAGCCACACCAACAGCACCAACAGCACCAACAGCACCAACAGCACCAACAGCACCAACAGCACCAGCAACACCAACAGCATCAACAACACCAGCAGCACCAGCAGCACCAGCAACACCAACAACACCAGCAACACCAGCAACACCAGCAACACCAGCAACACCAGCAACATCAACATCCATCCTTTCATCGAGTTTCTCACCCGGACAAAAAATTGGTTAGTCTCGTACGATACACTTTTAAGGTTCCACATTTTTGTACGTCAATAATACTTCAAAATAATAATTATTTCTTAAGATTGCAAACAAACAATACCGTTACAGAATGTTTTATGTAAACTCTAAATAAATTATAGCAAGGAAATTGAGTAGATGAGTTATTACACATAGCTATTTGAAATATGTTTTCATTACAATTCGAATTATGTAATAATTCATTTATAATTACATTTAATTACAAGAATTATTAAAATTCTTAATATGATAATAATGAATATGATAATTTGTTTATGATTTCAATTATGTATCGTCGGTTCTACAATTGTGTAGGTGGACTCAATTGCCACAACCTCGTCTGGTGTAAATATGACTCCTTTACCACCAACGGCTTCATCGACAACGCCTGGTAAGACCAGCTCCCAAGAAGCAGCAGAAATGTTGCTGGATTTTTCTACGCCGAAGGAATCTGGAAGTGGCAGCAATCCTCCGATAAAGAGTTCGATGTCTTTTGCTACATCCTTGTCACCCATTCGAAAAAATACAACACCACCACCGCCTCCGCCCCCACCACCTCCACTTCCACCACCGCCTCCACCATCGTCAGCGACGGTCCCAACCGTTTTGACATCAGTAGCAACCTCCGTATCACCGATTTCAAACTTTCCTCAGAGCCCATCCGTGAGCGTACACATCGTAAAGAGTCCAGCCCCTTCGCCCAGAGTTATCCCTTTATCACCGCACTCTGCTTCACCCTGCATCACTGACGATGAACTTATGGATGAAGCTCTTGTTGGTAAATAATAATAAAATGACAATTTTCCACTCTACTTCTTTGTACAATTTAATACATATTTTTCCTTCTTTTCCAAGTGATCTAGAAAAATAAATTGTGTTAATAAGGTATAATTAACCTTAAAGCCAAAATAAATTCTCTATTTTAATTATATATAATCATTTTAATTATTTTCAATTAAGTATGAAGGAACCATATCAAATATTTAATTCAGATTTTAAGTAAATTTGATTGACTACATTATTATTATTTTTTTTATAATGTCACTCCTTTCAAACGTAATCGTTTCATCCAATTTAAAGCATAAGATTAAACAATAATAAAAAATAATCAATACATATTTATTAAATAGTTATTTCGTGAATTTTTAAGTATCATATAATTAATGCAATTATTAATGCAAAAAATCTAAATAATTGAAAATTACAGTTACTATTTTTTTTTTAATTACATAATTTACATTAGGGATAATGTAATTAAACGATCGATTGTGTAATGTGAATTTGTTTATTCTAGGTTCATGAAAATGCGGACTTGCAGAGTACAATTGTCATTCGATACACTTTATTATAATTGAAAAAGATCGTTATATTATCAAACCAAATTAAAGAAGAATTATATTTTTAATCTATAATATTCTATGCAAACTGTATATTAGCATTTACAAATAGTAAAAATTACATTTTAGTGCTTAGAAAGAAATTTTGTCTTTATGCTGCTAAATTTCAATTTTAAAAGTACAAATGCATACTAAGCAACTTACAAGTAAATCTGTTTATAAAAAATTTTAACCGCCTATAGGACAATCATTCCAAAAACTTGCATTAATTATCTTAATAGAGCTTTACTTAATGAAAATTCAAACATTATTTTCACCTCAGATTAACTTTTAAAATACGAGTTAATACATTTTTTATTATGCTAATATATCTTTCTAATACTTCTTACTGATTTGTTATCTTATTGGTTAAACAAACTGTAAAACTTCGAAAGCCTTATTATTAGAAAGTCATCATTTAAATTTTTTATTTATTGAGACTTTCTAAGATCCAAATGATTCGATATTTTTTTAAAAATTGTAAATTTTATAGATTTATTAAGTATATTTATTTTCCTGATATTTACAAAATTTATAAAAATATATATAAAAGTTATTCATTTTTATCAATACTTTATTATCAATCGAAATCGAATTAATTATTAACATAAAAAAAGAATACAGTATCATAGTCATTTGTATATCAAATTTTTAAAAAATATTGAATCTATTTGTCCAAAATAGGTACAAATGTACGTCTTTATAAATATAAGGGAATTATAATTTAATTTGTATAAAGAAATTTAGTATATGTAAATATATATATGCGTGTATTCTGAGAAAAAAAAACACACACATAATTGCTATAATTATAAATATTATTATTTTTATCATTATTATCCGACGTTGTTTGATTCTTATTGCTCAGAACAATTAAGAAATCGATTATGTACATGAAACGCCAATAAATCAATTTCATTTTGATAATCTTAAGATTTATTATTTAATGATAATTGGGAATTAAATTTTTACGCAAAATTATATATATATATATAATTAGTTTATATCATTACATATGGAAAATGGTTAAAAATAAAAAGTCAATATAGGATACCAATATTTATTTAAGTAGTCCTAATGTTCTGTTCTAACCTTATTTAAAGTAACATATTTTTAAAATTTTTTATTTGTATTTAAAAAATTAATTTAATAGTAATTATATGTTAATAAACATGAAATTAACACGAAAACAAGATATATAATGCTGTAACTATTTTAAACAATTTATCTTATTTTTATAAATACTTTAGTAATATTTAAATATAACTTAAGATCTTTATTATGCAAAATTATTATTAAAAATATTTATCATGAATTTTGAATATGATTGCTTTTATTTACCTTTGCATAATATTAAGTAGTATAATTATCATATCTTTTATATTAAGTTTAAAAGATTTTAAATATTTAGAAATTCAATGTTAAATTTTTCTTTATAAAATTGGTAAAGACAGATTATATGTATCATATTCAAGTTATTATACTCAGACAAATATTATTTACTATTTTTATCAGCTCTTAACATCAACTGAAACGTTAGAAAGAATATTATGACAAATCCAACTTCTGGGCATAAGAAGATCAAAAAGCTGATCGTCGTAAGGTGGACAATTCGATCTAGCATGATATTCCATTAAATATAATGTAAAAATAATACCGTTTCCCATAAAAAGTGAAAACCATATAAAAATATTTCCATCAATTTTTGAATGTTTTTTTGTTATAAAAACCAAAAGTAATCCAAAACCACCAAACATAAGCATCATTACAGGATAAAAAAATCGAAAAGCAAAAGCAAGAATATATTCGTGAAAAGCCGCTGACACTAAAAAAACAGTTAACGTAGCGAGGAATTTACTGTGAAATTTTTCGTACACATCCTTATAAATGTAAGTATACAGCCAATCATGTACAATTATATTCCAAGTTCTATAGAAAGCATCATAAGATGTACAATTCCACCAATCCTGTAAAAATTCATTTTAATTATTTTTATAAATAAACCATGAGACTGTCTAAAAGAAGTCCAAAATTTTTATAATAAATATATTAATTATAAAATTATTGAGTAATGATAAGTAATTGTAAATAATTATTCCAATTATGAAAGCAAAAGATTTGTTAATATAAATAAAAACCCAAAATTAATTATTTAAACATTGTATGATACAAACCCTATAAAATAATTTATCGGCAAATTTCAATAGTTCGGCCATTCCGTTTTGCCAGGAATGTAATATGCAATAAAATCCAAACAAGAACATTATAAGACCAGGAAGCGTTATACTAAAAATTGTAAGAATAACCGCTTGAGGCTCAAAAATACGCGGATTAAATTTTTCAAATGGTGGTATAAGAAAACGTTCGAAAATAAATGCTGCATAAAACACCACCATCACAACCTCTGCAAAGTTCCATAATACTATTTTCCACCTTATAGCTAAAGTTCTATAAAATAAAAATAATAATAATAATAATTAAAAGTTAGTATTACAAAATAGCTTATATTTATGTATTAATTATGTATTTTAGTAGGATTAAGTAGTTAAAAATTACAAGTTTCTTGTCATGGCTTAAAAATATATTTGTCCAATAGTTCATCAATCATATTACGTAGCAATACCTTTCGATTTTATGGTTGAAAATATTAACAACAAATTACATCATTTTTACCAAATAAGTGTTAATAAAGAATATAACATTGTAAATAAAGATGAATACAATTAATTTACAAGGCCTTTTTACCGATTTTTATATACTACAAAGTCGATTTTACACGTGTTATATTTAACCATAATAATATATTCGTTTTATTATTTGTTTGAGAATATATTCTAATGAAATAAAGTAAGTGTTATAATTTAATATTGTCTATATAAATTTATATGCTATGCCGAACTAGAAAGGAATGAATAATAAATATAATAATTTGTTACTGTAAAAAAGATAGTAATGATTGTTTTCTTTTCTTTTCTTTTTGTTTTTATTTAATTCAATAAAATTCTAATTTAAAATTATCTTAGAAGCAACAAGTTAAATAAAGATAATTACTATCTTACACTTATTATTTCTAACTTTGTTACATCTATTAAATCAAGAAAAAAGAAAATATTTATTTTAAAAAATAGTTAAAAAATTTATGAGAATCTGACAAACGTTTTATGTCATATTTTAAAGATATACCTTTAAACAAAATTTATTGCAAAATAAATAATCATGAATGTCTTTTATATTTGTGAAACGAATTATTTAATTTGAAATGATTGAATAATAATAAAAACCACGTTTATTTTGTTTTATTTGTATTAATACATGAGAAAATTATCCTAATATCTTAATGATAAACCATGGGGATTTAAATACCTCGGATATTCATCTCTATAAACTAAAGTTGGTGCAAACATGAAATATAGAAACTTGGAAAATCCTGGACAGTTTGATTCTGTTTTATCATCGTTCTTTAATTTTTGTGCTAATATTCGTGGAGCCGTACTACGCACGAATGCATGTGTTTTCATAAGCATGCGAACCTAAATATTCATAATTTCACATTAATAATTTTATTATTATATTAATTATTGTTGACTTTATATAATTTAAATTGAAAATTAAAACATTGCTTCATTACGCGAAATAAAATTAAATAGATATTGTTGCAATTACAATTATCATGTTTACTTAATATTTAATATAAAATAAGAAATTTTAATGATATAATAATTAATTACTTGTTCTGTAAGAATTATTAGACTAGATGCTGGAGGAAGCTTTTCTTGGACTAAAAATTTTGTAGGTAAAGCTATGAAAGCGATTTGATGAAAGATGTAAGCTAATAGAAATCCATAGTCCAAAACTAACATAAAAAAAGCTGACGAAATATAAAAATTAATTTCAGCTATTTACATCAGTAAGGCAGATTTAAGTATGAAATTAATTTTCTTACAGTTTGGAAAACATTGGTAATGTTTGTGGACCCACACCGAAAACGCTAAATAAGTGGCAAAAGTTGAAAGTAACATGGCAATCCAAATTTGAATGGTACTTGAAAATTTTCCAAAACCGAGTGTTACAGTTCTTATACCCAAATGTGTCCTGTAATTTGAAAAGTCAACTATAATTTAAATTTCTTATGTTTTCAATAACATTTACTTATTTATAAATTATTTTAAAGTAACATATTGTTCCCAATACAGGGTCATATAATACTATAATTAGTAAAATTAAATATATAATTGTATATATAATTTGTATATAATCCTATAATCCTATAACGATTATCCTGCTGTTAATTATAAAATGTACAATTATATTATTTTAAAACTTATATTAAGAAAATTAAATAAAAATAGTTTTTACCAAACTAATATAAATACCGTGTGAATGTTATTAGAAAATAACTATAATGATTATAAATTAATATAAAATATAAAATAAATAATAAAGCACCTACACGCATATATGTATAATAAAGTTAATATTAATGTTAATATTTACCAAAATTTAGTTTTATAAAAAATTTTAAATTGAATTAACTAATTAATTCTATAATTTTTAAATTTATCTGTAATTTCATAAACATTCTCATCAATTCAATCATTTAATAACTAGATAGGATACAAATATGACATTAATAAAAAAAATAGAATTCAATAGATTGAAAATAAACGAAAGTTAGATAGTAGAGAGAATGAAAGCATAAATAACAGAAATTCTCACTTCCCGTTTTCATCAATAGCAGAAGTTTAAGCAAATTTATTGTTAGATAAACTTTAAAATTCAATAGTAGAAAATTTTGCCTTCAACGGCATTATATAAATTTGATGACATTTTCTTTAATTAACAGAAAATATATCTGCAAAATATATAACATTCATCTAGTTGCGTATCTAGTCTGAAGATAAGAATTTACTGTACAGGTTCTTCGCAATTAAAACCTACCCATTTACATGTTATATATTGTAAATAAATGTTAAGGACGTTAATATTAATACTAATATTCATTCCATTGGTTTGAAGATCGTATCAAGTATTTAAAAGAATAAACTTTAATGATGAGATAGAAATGCATAAATACAAACATATAATTCAGACATTTATATATGCATATTGTAATGTTACAACAAATTTGGAACTAAAAAAATTAGAATTGCTCTTATTATATGTGCTTTTATGTATTAAATACCAACTTTTTAACCTAACACAAGGAATTAAATTCAAACAAATAGCTTTTGTTAATAGGACCTACTTTTATATTGAATATTATTAATTTTTATTTGTTATTTTGTTATGTTTGTTTATATTACATTATTAAAGTTGCACGACTAAGATTACTACTATTAAAATGAAAGTTATTACAATTAATTGAAATCAGTTGTAAAACTAGTAGAAATATTAAATAGAAATATTAAGTTTCAAAATTAGTATTATACATGGTACTTTTTTAATTCATAAATTCAAATAATTCAGTTCGTAGTATAAATAAATATTTATTTAAACAGAGGTATATTTTTGGAATAAATATCCATGTTCGCGAATTGATTCTCACTTTAATTAAAAAGGTAAAATGTTTTATCCGTTAAGTCATTTTAAAATAGAATAATTCAATTTTATCCTCAAAACTGATATTATTACTGATTAATTAATATAGTCACATATAATTTGCGAAATGTCTAAAAAAATATATTTTTTTTTTCAGTCTTCGTTATTTATATGTTATGAGAAAATATGGCCTATAAAAGTATGAAATTTTAAATTAAAATCAATTGAAATTAAGATCTTATGTAGATATAATATACTTTCTATATAAATATTTACCATTTAAAAATCTACACATTTTAAACTAATTTTATTCTATATACTAATTTATACTACTTCCTCCGATTCTATGAAATTTTTGTAAGCAATTTTACTTCCTATGAAGTTGATTCAAAACAAGTATCACAGCAAATGATTGCATATAAAATACATATTAACATTAATTATTTTTGACTGTCGAAATATTTGTCATTCGTAGAATAAAAAAAATTTTGAAATCCTAGATTAAATCATAATGATACTGTAAAAATGATTATAATTTTATTTTATCAACTTTTTAAATAATCTCTCTAGTAATATATATACTGTTATACATGAATAACAAATTGTGCATAAATTAAACAATACAAAATAAGGATAATTTACTAATTATCATCGTATAAAGTTTATATATTACGGACTTATAATTATCTATATCTGTAACATCATTTGTTCAATTATTTATTTTACAACGTGATAATAATAATATTGTAGATGGGCAATAAGTGTCTGTGATAAAAATGTATTAAATAAAATATAATAACACAACCTATCCATAAATTATAGAAATACATATAATTAAATACAAAGTACGATATTTTGTTTAATAATCATCTTGTTTTTTTCTTTTATCTTTTTTTCTCATTATGAAATAAGTCGTTTAATAATTACAATTAGATAGTACAAAAATATATAAAACATTGAGTTTAAATGAAGATCAGTCGATGTATAAATATTTATTAATTGTACATAATTGCTCGTTTTTACATTATTATTCATTTTCCATATACGTTAAATTCATTATAATCTATTCAGGAGACAATTTTTTTTTTTTATATCAATAAAAAATCTTTGTACTTAAATCATTTATATCCATTAAAAAATATAATTTTAATTATTTTTGTCGAAAATATGATAAATTATTTTTTATCATTTACTCGATAGGAAAAAAAATTAAAAATTTCTATCATTTTTGGTGCATAGAAAATTGATTGAAACGTTACAAAATAATAAATATGATAGAAACAGAAAGCACAGAATTGAAAAAATTCATCATTTTGCAAAAGAAAAAAAAAAAGAATCGAGGTCATATACTATCCTTCTAATTCTTTATATCGGTAATTAAATTTTCTTTTATAAGATACTTACGTGCCTGTTTCTATAAAATCATGTACCGCTGTATTCAAGAAAAGAATAAGCAACATTACTATAAAGATATTGTAAATAGTTCGTATGTGATTAATTTCAAAAAGGTCGGTAAGAAAGGATTTTCTTGGAAGAAATTGCTTATCTGTAAGTTTGCCATTTTGTCTTCTTTTACTAAAAATTAAAAATGTTATTAGTATTTTTTATTTAATAGAGTTTAATATACTACATAGGCTAAATTAATACTATTGTAATGTAATATTTTCATGTCAGAGTTGTAATCAACATTAATTTGTTTTGAATGCGAAATTTCATTAACCGTGTATCAATAATCGCTCCTAAATTATAAGATACAAAATTTGAAATTACATCATGTTTAGAAAAATTGTTTGACATTGACTATAAGCGAATGTTCATTATGACCAATACAGGTTCATACTATAATATTATAATGTAATCTTCTAAAATTAATCGTGTTATTCAAATATATATTACCAAATAAAAATATTTATTTGCTTAAGTTTCTTATAGAATTCTTTGATCTTTTTTTTTTCTTTAAACTATATGAAATGCTGTAATTCTCACATAAATCTATATAATTACTTTATAATGTAATAAACAAATTAAACCCTATTATATATATATATATTATTTATACATTTCTGTTTCATGTAGAATAACAGTTAAAAATTAAAAAATAATAGTGACTGTAGTTTTTAATATACTTTATACATAGTATGCATAGTATTGATTAATTATATCTTGATTATTAAATATCATGAGCTACTTGTCCAAAATAAGTCTGAAAATAATTTCATCTTTGAAACAATTATCAATGCATTGTTATCAGACAAATACCGATGAAAATTCATGACTCAGTTTGCGTCATTATTCATTAAATCAGCATTCATTATACGTACAAAAGATTTTTCACTATGAAAAAGGACTAATTTATTTACCTGTGATCTAAAGGTTCTTTGTGATAACCGTTTTGTGTTGTGTTTACTCGTAATCGTTGCATTACTTCTGACATCATATCATTTAATCTATTATTTAAATCATCCATTGTAGACTGTCGAATTTCCTGTAAATTTAAAACGCATTTACAAAATGATAATATTTTGATCAAAAAAACTGTTTTTATTATGAACAAATTACAAGAAATTATTCAAGACGTTACAAAACTCGGTGTATCTGAAATAAAATATTTTCGACGTGAAAATAAAATATTAAATTATATAAACATAAGATTTATATCTACTATATGTATATATTGAATTTTTACGATTTGCACAATTATAAATGAATAAAAAATACCTGCATTAATAAGAATTTGAAATAAAATTACTTGATTTACATTTACGCTAAATGACTATTGTACATTTCATTATTTATTTATTTATTTAAACAGAATATATGTTAGAAAAATTCTTGAAAAAAAAAACGTACTTGCATCCGCTCCTGTAATGTTTCGATTTTCGTTCCGTCTAATATTATGGAAGGATTCTGTTGTGAAAAAGCTTTTGAGGATTGAGCGATCTCAACTAGAAAATAGATACATGAATTAAATAAACTTCAAATAATGTAGTTATCGACGTCTCAAATGTTGCATAGTTTAAGTATTCAGTGGAATATTAAAATTTTATTAATCAATAAAATTTCTCTTTAAATTTTAAGTGAATTTCGTTTGAAAAATTTTTACTAATGAAAATTCGTATATTGCAAAAGATGAATATCATACTTATGAAATATCGATAAAAATTCATAATTTCTATTAAAAATATGATATCTATATTCGACGAGTAATTATGATAATTATTATTATTATGCTAACAGTTAATAGTCGATAATATTAAAACGAGGATAATATAGTGTATAAATTGTCGAAATTATCGTTTTAAACGATAATAAATTATATCACAACTATATAAAGTCATCGTAGTTTAATAGTTACAATTAACATAACATTATAAATATGCGTGTATGTATTTATATTTTGAACTTTGATTTTGTCAAGGAAATCAAAGATAACATGGTGGCGGGAAAATGCGAGAAACAAATATGTCCGACAATGTATCGTTAGACAAAAGTTTAAATTAATGTATATCAATGAAATTAATGTCCAATTATAATAATTTATTGGAGTAAGTTCATTAATGTTAATGAATATAAATTCATTTAAAGGGGTGGGGAGAGAGATAGAGAGAGAGAGAGAGAGAGAGAGAGAGTGAGAAAGAGAGAGAACGGCGAAATATAATTGAATAGTTGTTAACGTATATGTTGAATCGTAAAAAAAAATTATTTCTTTTATTATGGGCTTTTAAAAAAAATTAACAAATAAAATATTGACTTCTTACCTTTTTTCTCACATATTTCAATGGAGTTCTTTGAGTCTTCAGACTTTTCGTACAGTCGTCGATAAACATTTGTGACATTTTTACTCATTTTGTAAGATAAATGATTTTATAGGTATCAGTCTTATAATTGAAGAGCCGGTAATTAAAAAGAAAATATGCGATATTCACAGAATGCGAACATCTAAGGTGGAAGGACAATGGAATCAGAGTAAAAGTACATAAGAATGGAAGTTTCGGTAAAAGCTGGACCGTCTAGTATAAGCGTAACTTCTATACTGCTGAAGCGATCGAGTGCTCCATCTCTATTGCTCCTAGTGCTTAAAGAGCTCGGGACTATCAAAGCTTTCGTCCCCCCACTTCAACCCCACTCGCACTTATTTCCCAGCAATCTATCATTATCTGTGTAAATTCAATCAACCTAAGCTGTAGTTCGCTCCAGACTCTAATGTCTTGGTGCGATCGCCCTTGTAACCATGCGCGCGCAGTCTACTAGTCATCGCAGCGAACCGATTCTATAAACACAATCGCCGATCCGCTGCTAGTGCACGCACACTCGTACGTGTGTTTCTCTACCTTCAATAAGAGCTTTCACAATATAGCGCCTGGCTGGTGCGTATATCAAGAGAATGCGCGACTACTTTTCCTTGTGTGCATACGGAAGTAAACTGTACCATTATTTTCTGCCACCTCGTTAATCACCATCACATACAAATTGAGACTTTTATTTTATTTATTAATTTTAAGAGGTTGCTAATAAATTATAAATTCATATATCTGATAGCTAATGTCTATTGTTGTAAAGGCTGTGATGAGCTTTTGTCATTTACTCGGCCCAAAATCTCATAACTTATTTCATAATTTGAGTATTCTGTGCTCAAAATGCCCTATTATTTATTTTTTTTTTGTTTATTATTATTTTTTTTGTTTTTTATTTTTTTTTTTTGTTTTTGTTTAGGTATTTCACCTACTGGCCTTGGAAAGCTTTTCCAATATATTTTGCTAAACATGTTTTCGACTTTATAATTCATTTTATTTGCGTTGAAAAAGAGACGGTTCGGTTCATGCATCTCTTTATAATGATGAATTCTACTTATAACTGTAACAAACTTTTACAGTAAATTCAGACAAATATTTAAAAATAATTTGATACAATTAAAAACTTAATTCATAATAAATAATTTGATTTCTTTTTTTTTTTTGGTTTTTTGTTTTAATTTATAATAAAAGACTTTTGCAATGAATTAAAAAGTACGTTGTACGTTAATAAAAATAAAAAAATGTTTATATACTAAAAAAGCTATTTACTGATTAGCATTTTGCATTTATATCGTCAATTTAAAAATAAAATTTAAGAAAAAAACATTAAAAAAAAAACTATGAAATTATGAATAACATTCTTCTAGACTTGTGCATTTAAAGTGAAGAAACGTTATACTGCTCATAAAAAAAATTCATTTGGATAGCATTTAAAGCACGTGATATTTATAGAAAAAATTAATTGTACATAATATTTACTTACAAATAATATTTATCATATGTTTTTAATTATCTTGCAAATGAAGAAAGAAATGTTTTTATAATAAAAAATTACTGCATTGTGATTATATTGTGATTACAATTATAGTTATAGAATAAAATAATATGCATTAGCCATGCTTGTTAAATATGTGATTTGTTGGATTTGCATTTTTTTTTCTGGATTTTTAAGAATCCAAGTTAGTTAATAAAATAAAGATTTAACACCGTAAATCGTATTACGAGAATTTATCTACATTGAAAAGCACGGTATTTAGTCATTTAATTAAGAAAATTTAATTGTTCGATGCAACAATTGTATATAATACTTGAGAATTTCTGCATATCCTCTTGAAAATTGAAAACAATATTCGATTGATACAATTTATAATACTCTCACAAATATAATAGAGAATTAATATATATATATATATATATATATTATTGTGCGAAAAAGATAATTTTATATTGTAAGAAGAAAAGTTTCGCATCACTGAAATAATAAAAAATTTAAATCGAAGATGCGTTAGTTCTAATGTTCATTAGCAGCAATAAAAATAATAAATTCTCAAGGTAGTATCAGCATATTTTGATTATATTTAACAAGCGCGATGAGTTAGCGGTGTGTAGCACTTTGGCGTAATAATAATCGATCAATTCGTCAAGTACAATTTGTACTATATACGGACAGTTCTAATCACATAGTTCGCCCTGATAACGTTGCGTTTGACCTCTTTCTTTTACTATGATAAAAGGACAAACGTAGGCCCCTTCTCCATAGTCTTGTTCATAGACATTGGCCATTAGTACGCGTGCACTCGGTAGTCACATAACTCGATATTTCGAACATTTCACATTCAAATATTTATATTGTTCACTCACGGTCATCGTACCGATGATCATCATATGCTTAATAATTATAAGTACAAGTGGCTTTCTCAATGGATCATTACTTCCAAAAAAAAGTAACGAATGATTGTTGGCATCAGCTTATATCTCCCGTGAATCACACACAAGTGCAATAAGTGTACGAGCACTCGGGCTACTGCTTTGTCAATAAGAGATAGTGTACGAGTTCGGCCTCCGGTTTTCACTCTCTATTCCATAACTACGCTACACTGGGAAATTTTTTTCAAGTTCGTCATCTCGCTTATCAATCAATAACTTACACATAGGACATGCTGAGAAAAATACCGAAATTCTTATTATAAAGCATAATCTTAAAATATCTCGGCGGACGATGTTTTACTTACGCATTCAAGGATATTATAAAGTTGATTTTATTAAAAGTCACAACGCGATTGCAATGTTCTCGATATTATCGGTAGGCAAAAACAAGATGACGCAATATTTAATATTTTTCTTCAAAGATAAGTTATTAATAGATGCACAATGTCCGGCGAGTTTGCATCAAGGAACGATATAAAGACGAATAAATTAACGTGCGTACTCTTAATGCTGCTTATCGTTGAATTATAAATCATAATTCTTTGATTGCACGATACCTCGGAGGATAAAAACTAATTAATCGCTGAGTATGTTATGTATTTACGTATATGTATAAAAGACACTCAATATTATGTGAAGTCGATTTTCGACTTAATTATTTATTTCTTTATCTCTCATACGTAGTCGTATAAGTTTATATACATTATTTACAAAGTATTTAGTCTTCAGAGTATATTAATGAATTTTCACGGGCCCAATCATCATAAAGTATTCTTTGTCCTCGGATTTACAATCCTGGAGGATAATATATATCAGCGTGACCCTGCATTATTGAAATGCGCCGTAGACTCCGAAGCCTGCAGGAACCAATTAATTTTAATACAATATATCATGTAATTATGATGTAATTCAATTATTTAATAACTGACCTCTGACATTTGGCCTAAAGGATCAGTATAATTGGTTCGTTGTGAATAAGTCGTGGACGTGTGACTCGTTGGTTGCGTTATACCGGAACTTATTCCATTTGTGGCGGATTTGTAGCCAGTAACCTGCATGAATCAACAACACAATCCATTATTTTTCGATTGTAAAAAAATTACAATACACATTAATCATTTATTTGAACCAAATTCAATGAGAAAAGTGCGATCGTACGGTTAATGTGTCTATATTAAATAGAAGGAAAAGTACAATGTATATATTGTATTTTTAGACTTTCAAATCACGTTACTCTCAAAGTAAACACAATTAACTCGCACGAACGAAAAGCAGATTAATATTATTCATTAAATCATAATTTACGTTTTACTGAATTTATTGAATTTTTATCACTCAAGTGAACAACAGATCAAATGTAATATGTGAATGGGAAGAAAAAACTAAAATTGTAGAATTATCATATTTTATTTATGGTAAGAAACATGCTAATTAAGCTTACGTTCAACTTGCATCTTTCAAGTTATTATTTTTGATTGTCAATATTATTTGTATTTTTATTATTGCTAATACATTCTAATTATTGTTATTAAATTTTTTATTATCGTTATATTTTTATTATATTTTTATCATTGTTATTATAACTTTTTTATTTAATTATTAATTTTTAAATAATCGTAAATATAAATAATAATAAAAATAATAATAATATATTTTTCTGGTTATTGTTAATATATAAAAGTTAGTTTTTTATATATTTTATATAACATTATCTTACAATCTTTTATCTTTGTTCGCATGCGTAACACATCAATGTAAATAAGCCAGCAAACGCTTATTATTCAAAATCAATAATATAATTTATAATTATTTTTTATTTCATATTATTTTTGAAAATTTGCATTTCTTATTAAATAATCACTGATTTTCGTTGTCTACTTAAGAAAAGAATGTGAAAAAGTTTTCAATGATGTTAGGCGAACTTTCAATTATTATATTTGATTTATAAGATATAATTATCGATATTTTTACATTTATCAATATCATGCTTAACTAAATAACACGGTGTAATAAATAATTCATGAAAGTTATTTAAATAATAGTGACATTTCATAATGAAAGTATTGAAAAACTACTATAAATAAAAACTATTATTTAGACTGGCATACAATAAAATATTGATATTAAAAAAAGTTCTGTATTATAGAAGAAAATCTACAGAAAAATGCATAATACAATCTATTGTGAGAAAATGTGACGTTACTCGAAATAAAGAATTGTATTAATAATTATAAAAATAAGTCATTACTAAACATACCATTATGTGAGAGTATATTATTAAAATATATTTTGCATATATTAAGATTATAAGCAAAAACATAGTAATTTGAATATTTTTTATTTTTCCTTTTGATTGGAAAAATACTAACATAACATTAAAAACACTAAAATAAAAGCATAAGAGATACACGTTCAACCTTTATGATTAGTATAATATATTATATTATTGCATACAGTACTTTAAGAGAGACTTTTGAAAGTGATTTTATCCATAAATATATTTAATATTAATTTTTTCATCGGTCAGTTTCTTGAATTTAATGAAATACACACACACACACACACACACACACACACACACACACACACACACACACACACACATATATATATAGATAATGAATT